ACCCAAAGAGGAAGTGTAAAACTTCATCGGGATCCTGCAGATGTATCTGCCAGGGCTGACGTCCTTTTACCTACTTTCCAGTAAGCCCTGCGGACAGGCACCAATCCACACTGCTACTCCAATCAAATCTACGGAACCACCGATGTTTATGAGTGCCTCGCTGCCACTGACCCTGAAAAGGATGCGGGGGCTTCCGATGACCTTCAGCCCACACGAGTTACACGAGCCAGTGATCCCACGCCTAGATTCCTACCCAAGAGAAATGAAAGCCTACGATCACACAGATCACACAGACAAAAACACACCGTATGCAGACGTTTCTCAGTAGCTGCAGTTGTCATCATCAAAACCTGGGAACAACTCAAATGCTCCTCAACGGGAGAATGCCCAAGCCAACGGCTACTCATTCTTAAAATGGAATATTAGTTAGCAACAAAGAACCAGCGACCGACGCATCCAACAGCACGAATGGACCTCAGAGGCACGGTGCTGAGCGAAAGCAGCCAGGCTCCGAGGGCTGCACGCTGTCCCAGGCCACGGCCACCACGCTCTGCGAGGGCAGAAGTACGTGGACAGGCAACAGGTCTCTCTCCCCAGCCCGGGGACTCTTTGGGGTGATGGGCTTTTCTCCTGTTTCGATGGCACTGGTGGTTACGGGACTGGATATACATTTGGCAAAAGCTCTAAGCCTGTAGTCTTCCAAGGGTGAGTTTTGCTGCACGGAAATTACCCCTTCACTGAAAAACAGATGCAACACATGACGGGGGAGGGAGAGGTGGAGAACGAATCCCGTCGCACGAGGAAGGGGGAGATGTGCCTTCTCCGGGACTGCCGCCTGGGACCACGGAACCAGTCTGGGCACCACCTAACGATCGTGGGAGATCTGGCTCCAGACACTGAGCGCGCCTCTGCTCTCTGGAGGCAAGCGGGGCGCTGGCCGTCTCCGCTCCTGAGCCACGGAGCTAGCCTTGCGGACAGCACGTGGTAACACAGATTCTCACCTTCGGCACAAACCTGCCAAACCCAGGCATTTCAGCTCTTTCCCCAGGGCCCGGGCCAGCCCAGGCGGCTCCCCCCGGGGTAGGGGGCCCCTCGCTCCAGCAAGGCCAGCGTCCACCAAACCCCTCCCCGGTCGGATCTGGGAGGAAACCGCTCCTTTACAGTCCCGAGTGCGATGAAGCCCCGGAGGAAACGCTTCGGCTGCAGGGACTCAGTGATTTCTCCCACTTTGCATACAGCGTGGGAAGGGGCGTCCGCCTCCAACCACATTCCGCGCCAGCGGAGCAAACAACTCCCGGCTCGGCAGCATCTGCAGGAGCTGCTCGCGGAGGCCCGCGCGGCCTGGAACCCATGCCCGGGGCTTCTCCCGGCTCCTCCCGGCCCTGGGTCGGGGAGCGCCCGCCACCACCTGCTTCTCCACCAACGGCCCGGCAGCGGCGGGGACCGTCGACAAAGCCCTACCCCTCAGGGCCCAAGGCAGCCCGGGCACCCCAGCCTGTTCCCGCTGCGCCCCCAGCGCTGCCCACCGACCGACGGCACCTGCCCAGGGCTCGGACGCCCGGCGCCCGCCTCTCCCAACTAACGACGGCAACGAGAGAATCGCCCCTTCCCGGCAGGTGGCGGGATGCACCTATGGGCGTGGAACCTGCCTCTTTGCTTCCGGTGAAGGCCGGACCCGAACCGCGATGACCTCAATTCTGCAGCCTGCGAGCGGAGGAATGAAGCCGGCCCGTTTCTGAGCTTCTCTCCCAGGTCTGAAGACAGGCGACCTGGATTGTCCCCCCAGCAGCGGGTCATCTTCAACGCACTGCCTCCCCGCTCTCGAGGACAGAAACCCTCCTCTGGGGATGCAGCAACCTCACCGACGCACCGACGCGGGATGACGACAGAAGGTGCTGGGACAGGACGGCTGGGAACGGCACCTGCTGGCTCAGCACGCAGAAGGCAGGCTCGCCTCCAGCTCAGCTGGCCAGGACCAGCAACCCCTGGGTAGGGGTCCAGGAACCTGCTGTCCCTGCACATGGGACAGTGAGCTGGGACCTGGTGGGGCTGGCCCTGGTCAGAGAGGCTTCAAAGAGCGCACGGACCAGAGAACCAGCGTCTCCCTCACGCGAGGCCATCCCCTGCCCACGTCCTCCCTCCCTGCTCCACAGCCCCCTCTTCCACACAGCGCATAAGGATGGGGCCTGCTATACAACACCTGGCAGCAGAGAACCTTCTGGTAGAGAAAGCCAGATTGGGAGGCATTGAGGAATGGGTCACCTGCGGTAACACGGGGCTTCGTTTCGATGACTTGCTCTAAGCAAGCTGGGCAGAGAACAGAGATGCCCGAAGGGGAGGCGTGGTCAAGGGACACATTTTCTCGGTACCTCCCTTCCCCGCAAAACCAGAAGGGAGACACTGACAGACTGAGACGATGCTCTTTGCCCTGGGTGGGTGCTCAATAACTAGGTGCTTAACTGAAACTTCAGGATTTGAGAAAACATAGAAAACGACCCCAAAAGAATGCCTGGCATTTCTTCCCTGCCTGCTTGTGACCACGTCCTCGTGGGGCCCTCCGGTCCAGTCCAGGGCTCACACGGTCCTTAGCTGGAAGCTCAAGCAGAGCTTCCTTGACAAGGTCCGTCTGTCCGCGACAGGTGGGGCCCTATGCAAGGATTCCCACAAACAGGGCAGAAGTTCAGGGATGAAAGATGCTCAGAGGTGAAACTCTGTCCTCCTGTCCCCCGACACCCCTCCTCAGTTGTCTGGTTACAGAAGCTTTAGCAACAAACAGGAGCCAGATGTAAACAAACCCGAGAAAAGGAAGTGCGGCCTTTCCGGGGCAGCGATGCTGGCTGTTTATTCAAAGAGGCCAGCGGTGCTCCAGCCCCATCGCCCGGGCCCCAGGGACCAGCCCACCCGGAGCCCTCTCCCCAGGCCACGCACAAGGTTTTCACATCATTTATTCATCCTGAACCTCAGCCTGTGATTTCTTCAAACATTTTGACTGTATTTTGCCTTCATCCTGTCTCTGTGCAGAGGGATTTTAAAAGAAAGAAGCCTCGAATTCAGGCTGGAAGTCCACAGGGGAGCAAGCAGCTCTGGGTGCCTGTCAGCTGGCTGCAGGGCCGCATCTGTGCTGCAGGTGGGGAGCTCCCCGACTTCCCGGTGAGGGAGGTACCAGAGCCGCGCGACGTACTCCCCAGACTCACGGGCTGAGGTCGGACACATTTCACCACTCTCACACCATGTCTGGCAACGGCCGATCCCAATGATCTACTAGATGTGCAGAAAGACTGTGCACTTCCCATGAAAATCGCTCGCTGGGGCCCCCCAGGGACACATATGCGGGCGGCAGAGGTGTGTGCTTGTAACGTGCCACGAGTCCCGTGTACTCCATTACTCTTGCCCAAGCTAACTTTGTTCTTTTTTTTTGGCAGAGGAGAAGAGGCTCCAGTGGGGCAAATAGCTTGTTCAAAGGTCAGAGCCTGGGATCGAGTCCCGCATCGGGCTCCCCGCAGTGAGCCGGCTTCTCCCTCTGCCTGTGTCTCTGCCTCTCTCACGAATAAATCAATAAAATCTTAAAAACAAAAAGAGAGAGGGAGAGCAGTAGTCTTGTGCATACTGTATGGGTCGGACCGTGTCCTGCCCCAAATACCTAAGTTGAAGCCTAAGTGCCGGTACACCCCAGAGTGACATTATTTGGAGACGGGGTCACTGCAGCTGCCACGGGGATCGGAGTCAACAGGGGGCTGGGTGGGGTCTGCTGAGGCCCGCATCCAGGAGGGCTGGTTCTGCATCCAGGAGGGCTTGTTCCGGAAGGAAAGCGTCCCGGAAAGGAGACCGAGCAAAGGACAAACAGGGACAAGTGTGGACAGAGGGAGAAGCCCGGGGAGGAGGCGTGTGACGGCGGAGGCTGGGCAGCTGGCACAGCCAACGAGCAGCGCGGCGGCCCAGGCCTCGGGCTGGCAGCGGACATGCCGGGCCGCACACCTGTGCTCATGCTGCCTGCCCGGCCCGCTGCTCGGAGGACTTCGTGGGCGCAGGAAGCACACGCACACAAAGCCCGAGCCCAGGAGGGGCCACTGCCACCCCCACGACGGGGCGGACGGCGCCAGAGAGGCCGAGACAGGCGTCCCTCGGGCCCTGGAAGAGCGCGTACATGGCTACAAGGATGTTTTTCATCGATGTCATTTGTACGTCTTAAATGAACTATTTTAAAGCTTTCAAAGCTGAAAGACAATACTCCTTTGGAAATTAATTAAAAAATCTAACAGTGTTAATTAAAAAGGAATTCAGAGTGTTGAGAAGTTAAAAAAGTACCCACAAGCAAGCCTCCGAGCTGTGCTGAGGCTGCCCTGGGTGGGGCGGCGGCGACACTGCCAACGTGGGAATCCAGGCGCAGAGGCGTCTAAGGCCTCCTCAGAGGGCTGCCTTTGTCCTGTGACAAAGCCAGGCCAGACCCCGGGCGCTCGTCAGTCCCCTTCCCACCCCCTGCGGATCCCAGCTGCCACCCACAAGGTCCATTCTGCCGACAGGCAGCACATTTCTGGCCTATTCACTGCTTATCATAAAGTAACTTTTTGGTCATCATCAAAAGTGTTGGAAGAGACCAGAACCATCCCTATGTTTTGGGAAATTGCCAAGGGCCCGTTTTGGGGGGGGGGTGTTTAGGAGCTCAGCACATCAGTGGTCTTAAATCTGAGCGGTTCACACGTACACACCATGAACACACGCCAGCCCTTCGATGCCCATTTCCACATCTATCCCAACTGCTCTTGACCTTGACTCCAATCTGATCTCATCTGGGCAGAAATGTCAAGGGAAGAAAGAACACGCGCCCCAACCCACCCCGGAATTGGGCAACCCCAGCACCTTCCCCTCCCCTTCAGCTTTCTCAGTAAGAACATCATCTGCCCTTCTTCTTCTCCTGCCTGGGCTTTCGATCCTTGGTGGATGGTTCCGCATGTGGCATACTGCAGACGACTTTCCGACTGACAGAAACCCAAGCCTCTTACCTGATTCCTGGAGATAGCGATACACCAGGAAGTTCACCTCGTCACTGGTTATGCTCATCTTAGCCTCACCTCGCGGCGATGAGGTCTGTATGATGCGGGAGCCACCCTCTGTGAGACAACAGGAAAAAGTAGGAAGAGAGTTTTGAAACACTGCCCGTAGGTTTGTCCCTGTATTCTTTTTGAGACGACTGGAAAAATAATACCCATGATGGTATAATTTCATAATAATGTATATATTTTAAAAAATACATCCTGGGGGATCCCTGGGTGGCTCAGTGATTTAGTGCCTGCCTTTGGCCCAAGGCACGATCCTGGAGTCCTGGGATCGAGTCCCGCATCGGGCTCCCGGCATGGAGCCTGCTTCTCCCTCTGCCTGTGTCTCTGCCTCTCTCTCTATGTCTATCATGAATAAATAAATAAAATCTTTTAAAAAATAAATAAAAATAAAAAATACATCCTGGAGAAAGGCTTCAAAAGGTGGGGAAAGCTCGTTGCTGTATTTTCTTTTTTCTTTTTTTATTTTCTTTTATTATTTTTTTTTTCGTTGCTGTATTTTCTAAGGCTGGGATAGGGTCAGGGATAAACCATACTTATGACAAATTCTGGGACAACAGAAAATGAAAACAAAACCCAATTTTTTATTCAATAAAAATCACACGTGCGTGGTAGTCACAACATACTCGGTAACAAGCATGAACGGCGTCGTGAAGTACACTTTGACGGGTTCGGTTGGATAAGACAGTAAGTGCTTGCTTTTCCAGAGACAGAAGACTTGTGAGGAGACCAGAAGTCATGTCAACACCCCTAGGGCAGGTGACCACATAAACCAGATTGCACCTGCTGTTCTAGATAAATGATCAACCATGGTACCTTTCACTCATAAGGCTGAAATGATAAACCCGATGGTCACTCGGTCACTCTACCTATAGGCCGTATGCAGCACTGAGAAGGGAAAAAAAAGATGCCTGAGGAGTGAAGTGTGTATGTCACCTTGACATCATTTCTATGAAGAAGCCGGGTCTCAGGAAGGTGAAGCATGGACATAGACCAAATAAGAAGAATCTGATTTTCTTCTCAATGATCCTGTTAGGCGTATGAGCAAGCTAGTCCAAAGAGAAGAGAGCGGCCAATCAAGCAGCAGAACTCTTAGACACCAACAAACTAGAATGCACACGTCAACAACACTCGCTCCCAAAAGAGCCAAAGCCAAGAAAGGCCATGACCCCTTTCAGAGAGGTCACCAACACCAAACATTTTAGGCTGTTGAGGAACTGTCTTCAGAGGTCCACACCATTCGTGTCCAGGCATTTTTACTGGTGGCTAAACTTTTCCCATTAAAGGAGAATCAACTTTTGTTTACTTAGAAAAAAAGATAAAAGGGCAATGTAGGCCTTCCACTTGGGAGGATTCACACTAAATGCTATTATAAGAGACACACCCAGTGAGCCCCACCCTGGGAAGATCCCATCCCCAACTGTGGATCCCAGGACCCGTGACTCACTTCTACCCCATGGAATGTGTCAAAGGATGAGGATGTCACTCTACTCCTTAGGTTATGTCCTATGGTAAGAGTGACCAGATGTCATAATTATTCTGCTCTAGCACAGTGGACTGGAGGGAGACACTCTCCTGCTGGCCTCGAACATGAAGGCTGTCATCATGTGAACCGCCCACGGAAATGGAGACAGCCTGCAGGAAGCTTTGCACCTCAGCCCTACAACCACAAGGAATCGAAATTCTGCCAACAACATGAGCTTGGAAGACAATCTCCCCTCCGCTCAAGCTCCAAATGCACATGCCGCCCAGCAACCACCTTATCTACAGCCTTGCAAGGAAGCCTTGGGCAGGGAACTCTGCAAAGGCAAGCCTACGCTCAGTGTCCAGACAAACTGCCAGACAAGAAATGTGTGGTTTCCAGCTGCTCTGGAAATTTGTGATGATTATTAGGCCACAATGGATAACCAACACGCTGTGTCTTGGGTCGTTCCAGTTCTCACTTTAGTTACCAGAATTTTCTTCAGGGCTCCTGGATGGCTCAGTCAGTTAAAAGCGTCTGCCTTTGGCTCAGGTCGTGATCTCAGGGTCCTGGGATCAAGCCCTGCGTCAGGGTGCCTGCTCAGCGGGGAGTCTGCTTCTCCCTCTCCTTCTGCCCCTACTCCCCGCTCATGATCTCACACTCGTTCTCTCTCTCTCTCAAACAAATTTGTAAATTCTTTTTAAAAAGGACACCTGGGGGTATCCATGGGTGGCTCAGTGCTTTAGTGCCTGCCTTTGGCCCAGGGCGCGGTCCTGGAGTCACGGGATTGAGTCCCACATCAGGCTCCCGGCATGGAACCTGTTTCTCCCTCCTCCTGTGTCTCTGCCTCTCTCTCTCTATCATAAATAAATAAACCTTAAAAAAAATTAAATAAGGGATCCCTGGGTGGCGCAGCGGTTTGGCGCCTGCCTTTGGCCCAGGGCGCGATCCTGGAGACCCGGGATCGAATCCCACATCGGGCTCCCGGTGCATGGAGCCTGCTTCTCCCTCTGCCTGTGTCTCTGCCTCTCTCTCTCTCTCTGTGACTATCCTAAGTAAATAAAAATTAAAAAAAAAATAAATAAATAAAAAAAAAAAATTAAATAAAAAAAATAAAAAGGACAGCTGGGCGGCTCAGTGGTTGAGGATCTGCCTCCAACAGAGGGCGTGATCCTGGGGTCCTGAGATCAAGTCCCGCACTGGGCTCCCTGCAGGGAGCCTGCTTCTCCCTCTGCCTGAGTCTCTCATGAATAAATAAATAAGCCTTAAAAAAAATGCTTCTCTTCATGAGTTACTTTGGTGATATTCTGTACTTCTGTGCATACCGAAAGAAAAAACCTGACAAAAAAGACAAAAAGAAAAAAAAAAAACTGACAGTCAAAATACAGATCTGTCCTGAGATTTGTTTGCATTCTGAGGAATTCACTCGTAAGACAGCATTAGGAAAATATTAGAGTCTAAATAAAAAGCCATGAAATCAGAGCATAACCCAATGAAAAAAAAAACCTGTTATTTAGGGGACAGAAAGAATAACAAAAACATACGCCACAGAACACCAACGCTGAACCGACTTTTGGCGACGTCGAGGGGCAGTAAGGAGGAGTCGGCTACAATGACGATTTCCCCCTGGTGAATGGCTGGGCCGCTGGCAGGTGATTAGGTCGGGAGCGTGGAGCCCTCACGAATGGGATTAGCGCCCTCTTATAAAAGTCGCCCCCAGAGCTCTCTGTCCTTCTGCCCAGTGAGGACACAATGAGCGGACGCCCATGTAGGAAACAGGAAGTGGATCCTCACCAGATACCAAACCCGCCAGTGCCTTGATCTCAGGCTCCCAGTCTCCAGAGCTTCGAGAAAGAAACGTCTGTTAAGCTGCCCCGGCTGTGGTATGTTGTTGCAGCGGCCTGAAATGACCCACACACCTCCCCCAGCTCCGTTCTCTTTTTGTGGGTCACGTCAGGCACTTAGAAGTAAGTGAAAATCTAACTAACAGGCTCTTCGTGGCAGGACTTCTGACATCTGGGTCCCCATGATTCTCTGTTATGGGGCCGTCCTGCGCACTGTACGGTGCTGAGCAGCCTCCCTGGCCTCTGCCCACTAGATGCCAGGACAACCTCCCCCACCCCCTAGAGTTGTGATGATCAAAACCATCCCCAGACATTGGCACATGTCCCAAATTCCAAAACTGCTGCTCGTTTTCTCTGCAGAAGAAAAACCTGCACTTTGTGTTTGACACCAACTGCATTTACAAAGACGTAGGGCAACGTGCAGCTAGCTCATAGATGCCGCTTAACGACATGGCCAGGCTACTAGAAGCCAACATTTATTTTATTTTTTAAAAGATTTTATTTATTTATTCATGAGAGAGAGACACAGGCGGAGGGAGAAGCAGGCTCCATGCAGGGAGCCTGACGTGGGACTCGATCCTGGGTCTCCAGGATCACGCCCTGGGCCAAAAGCAGCACTAAACCGCTGAGCCACATGGGCTGCCCAGAAGCCAACATTTAAAATGCACCACAGGAGCTGGGCTTTTTCTTTTTTCTTTTTTGTTTGTTTTTGTTTTTGTTTTTTTAGATTTTATTTATTTATTCACGAGAGAGAAGCAGGCTCCATGCAGGGAGCCTGACGCGGGACTCGATCCCAGGACCCCAGGGTCATGACCTGAGCCCAAGGCTCAACCGCTGAGCCACCCAGGTGGCCCAGGAGATGGGCTTTTTTAAATGGCTTATTTAAAATTTTTCTACAGAATTATCGGGATTTTCATTCAAAAAGAAAATATTCTTCTTTCAGCATCCACATCTTTTTTGTTTTCTAAGGGGAAGATGCCCCGGGCACACCTGCACCCCAAGAGCCTCGTTCTCACTGCCCACCCACAAGTGTCTGTAATAAATACAGGCATCTGCACACGTGTGCCCAAAGGACCATGAAGCACAAGGATATAACACCCTCGAGACACCAAGGACGGGGGACAAATTTTGTTAGTCTGTTACTCTTCTTTTTCTTTATGCACAATCTTTTTTTCCAACCAGGAAAAGCTCCGAATAAGCTCTGGCTCTCTGGTTTCTGATCATGGATGGAATTTCTAAATTTGTAAGCTGGGATAAGCTTTTCCCAATACAGTGTTAATTTTCTAAAGGCTTTTTTGATTTGTAAGCAGCAGAGAAAAGAAAACAGAAACCAGTCTCGGCCTGCAAGAGAACCAGGTGAAATGTCATGCCAGGTGAAATGACAAGACATGTCACGTGTCCCCCCTGGGTCCTCTACCTCAACTACATCATTTAATTTTTGAAATCATAGTAACTGGATCAAACCACCTCTGCAACTGAACAACTTCTTCACTAGCTTTTAAGTATTTCTTTTAAAACCTAATTCCAGGGGTCTGGGTGGCTTCATCGGTTGAGCGTCTGACTCTTGATTTCGGCTCAGGCCATGACCTCAGGGTCATGAGATGGAGCCCCATGTCTGGTTCGCGCTCAGCACGGAGTCTGCCGGAGTTTCAATCCCTCCGCCCCTGCCTCCTCCTCACATGCACATGCATGCAAATGCTCTCCCTCTCTAAAATAAATACATCTTTAAAAAAATAAAATAAAACCTA